GAAGAGAGGTTAAATGTGCACTCGCACTTTAATGTGGACATGCTGAAAATCAGGCGTCTGAGTATCAAGAGACGAAGAGTCTCACTCCGCTCGGCTGTACCGTTGCTCTCTCTTCCATTCAAAGATTCAGACTTAGCTGTACGGCTGCAGGCCGGCCTGCCGTCACGAATCATAGCTTGAAGCGACCCGGCCTTGGGAGGTGGGGGCCGAGCAAAAATGATGGCCAGAATGGTGGTTCTGTTGTAATTCCTCTGGGGTGAAGAAATGCTGGTCCATTAGATAGTAGGGATTTATCTGAAAGCACCAATACATATTGTCTGACTCTGTGAAACAGGCAAATATTTATTAGTTTCCACATCTGTTCTCTCTGCAGTGGTGTTTTTTTAAATTTTTTTATTCATTTATTTTTGAGACAGAGTTTGCTTTGTTGCCAGGCTAGAGTGAGTTGCGTGGCGTCAGCCTCGCTCACGAAGCAACCCATCAAATTCCTGGCTCAGGATTCTCCTTGCCATAGCTCCGGATAACATGAGACTACAAGGCTGCACCACCATTGCCCGCTCATTTTACGTGTATACTTAGTCGCCATTAATTTCTTTCTATTTTTAGTAGAAGAGGGGGGACTTGCTCTTGTTCGGCTGGTTTCGAATCCTGACCTCGAGCGATCCTGCCACATCGCCTCCCAGAGTGCTAGGATTACAGGTGTGAGCCACGGCACCTGCCATCCTGCACGTCTTAGCGGACTGAAAGTCTTCCTACCCGCCCCGACCACACTCCCAGCGGTGTCGCGAGGAGTCTTTGGGTGTGGGCGGCCCTGCAGAATCCATCTTTGGTCGTGGGAGAGGCCCTGCTGCACGCTGAAGGCTGCTCTCTGTGCCTTGTGGGCCTTGGCCTTTTCTCTGACACCCGTTTTTTTTTTTTTCTCTCCCTTGCCATCTGCAGCAAGCACTAAGCACTACCAGAAAGCTGCTGTACCGTGTGCGGCGGGACGATGAACGCCCGGGACGGTCCCGCCGCGCTTCCAGCTACTACGCCTAGAAAACCAGCCTTGCCGCTAAACAGCGGGGTCGAGAGGAGGGGTCAGCGTTGCCCCCAGCCTTATCTTAGCAGCCGAGCTTGCTGCTTCTGGTTCAGTCTCTCCGTTTTAGCAAAGAAACGAACATTCCAAGGAGTTGGAAACGGCGTCTATGAGTGAACACTCTGCCTCTTGTGTACTGTGTCGAACCCAGGTGAATAAACTGAATTTTTACTTTAAAGACGCACTTTGTGGCCTTGCTATTCGGGTTACATGTTTAAGAACTCCGATGGCAAAGGGTTATGTGTTCAAGCGCCTACGTTGTGCCTGGGGAGAAAGCTCTAGAATCGACGCTGTCAGCACATGGTAGACTACTCTAGAGATGTGGCCTATTTTGATTTAAATTAATCTTCAATTGAATGAGTTAAAATTCAGTTCTCAGTCCACTGTCCCTGCATGTGGTTAAGCGCTAGGTATTGGACATGCAGGTAGAGAACGTTTTTATTCACCGTAGAGTGTTCTGTGGGCAGTGCTACATGCCCAGGGGTGGAGAGATTTACGGGGAGAAAAAACCAGAAGACCCTCCATCTGCTCACTTTCCACGGGTAAATTAGGAGAGCAAGCGTCAGTGGCACAACTGGGCAGAGGGTGGGACGGGTGGAGGAGTCAGTTCCAGCAGATATTGCAACTCTCTCTGTAAGTCACCAGACTTACAGAAATAAATAAATCCTGCCCCAGCCCAAAGCATCGCTTTTAGCGAGTCACGCATTCCTGTAAGGAAATCTAACAAAGGTGGATCGGGACACAGAGAAAAAGTGTTCTTCCATGGAAATCGAGAAAGATTGACAAAAGGGAAGGAAACCGGATCATGTACCCTAAAGTCTAAGCTGGGGCGAAGCTCTCTGGCAGATTCTTAAGGTTCACACAGTGGGTTGAACAGGTGTTCAGCAACGGTCACAGGCCCAAAGCACACAGACTGTACGATGAGAATTAGGTCTCACCCACCTTACCTGAACCAGCCCGGCGGCCTTCCAGGGTCACCTGGTTTCCGGTACATTCTCCATGGACGACTCTGCATCGTAAACATGTATTTGTATTTATTGCTCTGTGAGTGGAATGTGAAGCGTGCGTTCGCAGGCGCTAGCCCAGCACGCTGTGGACTCCTTTTTATACACGTACTTTCCTAAGCGGGGAACAGGCTGGGAGGAGGGGAAGTTGAAACAATCTCTCCAAACCCTCTGCTACGTGTCCTCATTGTCAAGACCGCCTGCTGGTGTAGACACGTCTCAGCAGTCTGCAGGGCCAGGCGGGTAATGGGAAATAAAATGTGGAAATGGGGTGGGAGTCTAGGGCAACGGAGAGGCCTGCCCACTCTCAAGCACTCGCATGCATGCCACAACAGCAGCACGAGCAACCGTGGCAGCAGCCGACAACCACATCTGCGCCTGATGAGGCTTGTTGTTTGACCCTTTGGCAAACTTGATGGAAATTGAGTCTCGTGAGTCTCAAGCACCAGTGGCCCATAAATACCTGAGTCCCTGAGTATAGTTTTTAAAAGCAGGTTATCTAAATCAGGGGATTTTATCCAAAGTGTCCTGCCTATGCATATTAGAACTGATGCCTAAATCCCAAAAAAACTTTTCTGTGTGCTTGGGGCGGAGTTCCAGGAACGCATAAGAAGAGGAACCTTCCTGTTTAACCCTAAATTATCACGTTGAACTCAGAATTGACAGGGTAGGGAGCACCGTTTCCGAGCGGAAGAGTTGGGCTTGCTTTCACCCACAGAGCACGTTTCGGGTGCAAAGGAAAGTGTGAAGAAGGCAAGGTCGTGCCGTGAGCATGAAGCTTCTCTCCCGTGGATCCAGGAACAGCCTGGCCACATCCTGGCTGAACTAGACCCTCTGCGGGTGTGAGGTGAAATCGAAGGCAGGCTGGCACCGCAGAGGATCACGGGAGAACTGTTGCAAACACCTCCTGCCGTCGTCTCCCTGCCTGCGGACAATGGTGGTCTGCGTTCCGCCAGAAACGGAAACAGCAAGGGCACTGTGACGCAGCGCCATTTCTTCTGGATTTCAAGCCTGTCCTTCCCAGTCAACCGCCCAACACATTTCTTGAAGTAAGGAGAACCATCTGGAGGTTTGAAATTCTCCCCAGCGATTTTACTTTGCAAAGAGAAGAAGAGGGCAACCGGCGCTTAAACATTTTTGTGATTGATAACAAGAACTTTGATTTAGACCTTTGAGGAATTAAAAGGCAATGACACCATGTAGGCCATGAAACTTACTGAACTGATGATCAAGAGTGTGATTTTCCCACCCTACCCCACTACCCCCAACTTGGGGGCTATCACATTGCACAACTCCAGAGGACGGTCTCACATGGTGGTTCTAGGTGAATGTATCTCCCTATGAGTGCAGTGCACAACTGAGCAGCACACATGACGGCCCTAGTATCAAAGCGCAAGGCAGGTGTGTTGCCTATTAGGCCTTTTGCTACAAGTTGGCATCCAGATAACAGTTGGAGACAAAGCTCACTTGGAACAAATGACTGAACCCCTAAAGGTCTTGACTTTTCCATGGACTCATGATGTTTGGACCAGTTCACCAAGGCGTGCACAAATGAATCCGCATATGAAATCTTCCACCATATATGAAGTTCCCGTAGTGTAAATTATTGATAAAAGATAGCTAAAGCAGGGA